AAGAGCACAAAACTCTTAATTTACATAATTTTTTTGCTTTGTTCATCTGACACCATTAAGATGTTTCAATAGTTTCCAATTTGAGCCAGGTTACTAAATCTCAACTCCTTACCATAATCTGCTCTCTGTGGGATGAGGTTTCTGGCTATCTTTGACATCTCTTTGTGCTACTCTCTTCCTTGCCCAGAAAACTCCAATCACACTGAACTCAGTTTTTTAAAAGCGTACTCAGTTTTTCAAAAGCTGAGCTTTATTTTCCTTCAAGGTCTTTCCCGGGGTATTTTCCTCTACCTAGAAAGTACTTCCTACTATGTGCAATAATTCTTTCTCTTCCTTGAGAATATGGAAAAAAAAAATCACCTCCCAAGACTGACTTTTCCGAATACCCTGTTTAGCAGGCGCCTCTGTAATTCTCTATTCCCATGCCTGTTATTTCTTCCCTCACAGAATTTCTAATAGCTTTGTTTTTTTCAATCATCTAGTTTTTTCAGTCTCCCTCACTAAAAGTGTCATAAGGGTACAGATAATTCTTTTAACATCCTGTTTTATTCCATAAGCTGAATATTATACCTAAAAACAAATTAAAATAAGGAAAAGGTGTAAATAACGCTTTTTTCATTTCTAAAGAAATCAGAACACTATATCCAACTACCAGAATACTAAAGATATAATATATTCAACTCTATCACATACTTCTAATCCTCTTTATAAGTTTAGTTTGCATGATTTACAATTGTCAATGTGACATGTTTTGTCACGTTTTTTGTCTAGTGTGTTAACTCAATCTCTATTATATCGATACCCTCACGAAATGTTGTGTATGAAGGACAATGAAGAAACTTTCATTACTGTAAGAATTTATTTGACGTACAAGTGAAATAACTTTTCTTCTACCATTTGGGACAAATGAACCACGCAGAGAACAGTACTTGTGTGAGAAAAGAATGAGATTAATTTAGAAAGAGTGTTGGTAAAGAAAATACAATAGACTGATGCTGCCTTTTTAAGTAGATTTACTAAGAATTATAACTAAAGAAATCTACTCAAATATTTTTCTTAGTATTTAATTTTGTATCATAAAAGCAGCCCGAAGTCCTTAAAGGTTAAAAATATTAATAGATATTTCATTAATTTATCTTGTACTTTCCTTTTAGGAAAATCTAAATGAAACTACTTTACTAAAGTTTCTATGTGTTTAAAGAAAATATCAATAAAATTGTATAATTTTATGCAAGAATAAGGTTTTTGAAATGGTCTAATCCCAAATCCAGAGTACACAATATCTAGATAATGATGGCAGATCAATATTAGTAACATTTTATCTCTTTAAATCATAAAGATTAATAAAATCTTAATAGCGACATATTCCAATTTGCACTGTGTAAATGAAATTATATTGTATACAGTTGTATACTTATAAATAAGAAGATATAATATTAAAATCTCTTGCTTTACGCTATGTAGTTTATTTCTGAAAACAAATTTTATTGAAATGAAAGGCTCTTAAAATATTCTTTGCAAATTATCCATTACTTAATATTTCCAATACTTTAATTTTGAATTTTTAAAAAATATTTCAATTCCTCCCTTTCTAGATGAAAAGCTTTAAGCTTTAGTTTGTGAGCAGTACTTAACTGTAGTTTCACTAATTTTAGGCTATACATTTTATTAAATACATAATTTTCTGCTTAAGCATACTCACCTATGTTTACATACAACACCTATATTTACATACAATTCTGAATTTTACAGTTTTATTAAATTAATAAAATTAATAAAAGTTCACAATCAAACTATTTAACTTATATATTTCATTTTTTAATTACCAGGGTAAAAATAACATTTCATAAAATTTAAGTAATTAAATAAATTCATGAGATTATATCCAAACATTAGTGAACTAGTAGTATACAATTAATTATGTTTGGATAACCTAAAAGTTGCATCAAATTTTTTGGCTCAAAAATCCCTACTTCCTAATGTAGAATAAGTTTAAAGTGTAAACCTACTATTGATTGTATTTGATATACTTTCATCTTACATTGGAAATAAGACTGCGATATGTCAATCTAAATGTCCAATACAGTAATAAAAGTTAAAAATCTTTATGTTTTAGGTAAAATTTGCATACAATAATTATTTTTTCAGTAGAAGGAAGATTACTGGGCTAAAAGATATAAATACAAATCCTATTTTCACATAATCAGATAGTGTTCAAGGAAGCAGATCTACAAAAAGTCAGACTGATTACTTTGTCTTTATAGTGCAAAACTTCATAGTCAGTTAAAACACAAGATACTTCTATTAGTCCAGTTACTCTTCATATCATCTGAAGTCCATATCAAAAATTAGTTAACTCTTTTACCATTACCAACATTTTAGCTTAAGTATGGAAAACTGTAGGAGCTAAGAGGATGATGATTCTATCCATTTTAACCATAGGGGTTTTTAATAATAAATTATATCAATTTTAATTTGAATATTCTAATCAAAAGGCAAATTTTATAAAATTAAAATTTACCTTACAAAAAATTACACTTAAAATATAAATTTCATTCAATCATAAGAAAAGATACTAGAAAATAATCTTTGAAATTAAAGATCACTTATATTACAGACATTTGTGTGTATAAAATCTCTTAAATTTTATATTAATCACTTTAAATTGCTTAATACTATAATTCTCAAATGTTCCATAGTTTAAATATAAGATAAATTTTGATTCGTTTTATTAATCAAACTATTAGAAAATACTCCCAAATGTTCATAATAATATTTTGAAATATATTTCATTAGTTTCACGATGTCAGTAATCAAAAGGTATTTAATTTCTAGTCAATATGACTTTAGACTATATAAAGATTTTTAAGAGTAATAATTTCTGATAAGAATATCAGACATAATTTCCTTAACTGTCTTTAGAAAAACTTGTTTAAATTTTATACAACTTAGCCTTAGAGTACTTCATTTACAAGAGTCTTATACAGTGTTTTTAATATATTAACACAAATTCAGTTTTAGTGGAATAACATTAAAGGTAGGGTACTCCAAAGCTTATTCCTACTTAACTTATTGGTAAACGATGTAATGCTCATTCACTAGCTTTAAGCTGATAACTAATTATATTTACTTTGTAAACATTTTACGTATAATGACTTTAAAAGTATGAAAAAGTTATTAGAACAAAAACATATTAGTATAAAATGTTAATCAGTAACATTTCTATGACCTTAAGTCTAACATAAAAATCTGAAAGGTCATACTTCAAATGCTGATACATTGAAAAATGACACTTTAGTCATTAGGAGAATTAGGTGTGTTTTATTTACCTGTCCATAGCCTACGTGCTTATGTGTCATAGACTGCAGGGCAATTATTGTTAAATATTTTGAGTTAACTTGACTCTCAAGGCACACATCTCTTTCGTAGCCCTAAATTCTAACATAATGATAATATGTCTTACATTTTAATTATTAAAAATTGTTTCATTGTTCACAACAAAATCAAAGAAAATATGTTATAATGGTGCTCTATCTTCACAGAATAGAATATTTTATCCCTTTGTTATTGACTGTCAATAGCCTATTTTTTAAAAAGTGAGGGGTGTATACACAGCCAGAGGACAGCAGTTATTAAATGTGATACAATTTTAAAGGCAGGACATTTACGTATAGTTCTCTAAATTTACAAGTAATTCTTTAAATTTACACTTAAAATTGTAAATTGGCAGGCGAAAAAAACAAAGTAACGATTAGGAAAACAGGCCAAAAGCAACAAGCATGTAAGTGAAAACTGGATATTAATCCTGATATTTATAAATAATGATCATGTTTATGATAAAAAATATTTTCCTCTCAGTGCTATTTCACAAAAAGTGTAAGTTTAATTTATGCTGCGCTCCATTCTTACATCGACAAATTACTTTGATATGTCATGCGCTATGAGCAAATGTTAAAAAGGTATGTGTGTTTTATATTTCATGTGTGCGGGTGTGGATTGAACAGTAACTACAACTGAAGTTTTGTGTCTGAAGATATTTAAAAAGTGAAAGCTAACAGGCGACATTGGTGGTCATCACTTTGCCAATGAGAGCATCCAGCCAGGTGCATGCTGGAAAACTTTTACAACTGTTACTTTAGGAGAATTTTGAAAATGCAGGGAAGATTTTTTGATAGATCCTAAATATTTCCAGGAGAAAGTCAATAGGGTCTGTCCCATAAATGACAGAGAGAAAGACAATATTGCCCCAATTCCAAACGCTTCCCCTTTGGTACAGTGGACTTTGACTTTTCTCACGCTCTTCGTCTTCACTACACCAACTTCACCTACAGAAGCAAATGGTCCCTTCAAAAGCCCACATGAATGGGAGCTGGACAAGTTGGACATTGGCACTTAACGCCCTTTCGCTCCCTCGTCCCCGACCCACCCTGCGCCAGCAAAAAAAAGAGAGCTCAGACGAGTGGGGTGGGGGGGGAAGAAAAATCTCTGTGCATCTGGCAGAGGAATAATTTCCAACAAGTCTACGCTCAGTCTGGGGCAAGAAAGCAGACTGAGCGAGGACCCCAAGGTTTCCAGAGGCAAAGGCTTGGCCTTAGGTCACTTGGGTACCCATCTGCTTCACCCCCAGGCAGCGGGTGCATCTACCCAGCTTTGCACGACCACCCCAAGTTCTCCTGCAGCCGGTGTCCCAAACCCTGACCCTCCCCGCCCCCAGTCAGACCGTGCAGCGGGCAGCGGTCCCGGAGCCTCCAGCTGTCCCCCCCCCCCCCCAAAGCTGCTGGTCTTCGCGCATCCCTCTAAACCTTGGAAGCAGTAGACATCACAGTTCGCGAGGTCGCCGGTCGGGTGTTCTACTGTCCCCCCCGTGTGGCGAGCCCAAGACCTCTAACCCGGGACGAAGTTACCTGCCCACGGCGGCCACCCCAAAGCATCGCCCCCTCCAGCCCCCAAACACCTCTGCCTCTCCCACCCCCAAGCCCAGGGCCCGACCTGTCCCTTACCTTGGTTACTGGAGACGTGACTGCAGTCGCCGGGCCACGCCGTCAGCAGGGGCAAGAAGAAGCCCAATTGGCAAAGAAATCCCCGGACTTCGCAGCCCCCCATGACTCTGGGCAGCTCTCGCGTCCTCCCCGTGAAAGAAAAGTGACAGCAGCGCAGCCAGGTCAGAGGTCCAGAGGTCCTGGTCCCAGGCCAGAGGTCCGCGGCCACCTCTTCTTCCTCCTCCTCCGCCTCCGCCGCCGCCTCTTCTTCCTCCTCCGGGGGTGTCCCGGGGCGCCCCTCGCGCGAGGCCCCGGGAGCAGGGCACGAAGGTCCAGGCTGGCCCGGGTGCCGGCGCCGCCGCGTCGGAGGAGGACGCTGCCCGCGGCGCCGGGGAGCTCCGGGCGGCTGGAGGCGAGCGGAGTCGCATCCACCGCCGTGTCCCGCTCGCGCGAGGACTCCTCACTCGGGCTCGGGAGGGCGCGCGCGCAGGAGCGAGCGGGGGGGCGGGGGGCGCGGGCGGGGCGGGGCCGCGCGGGCTGGGGTGGGGTGGGGTGGGGTGGGGGGGGAGGTCGGGGACACCCAGGTGTAGCGGTGCGGCCCGAGCGCCTCGCGGGACTCGCAGCGGGCGCGGGCGCGGGCGGAGACGGAGCGGGCGAGGCGCTGGCGGCGGCCCAGGGGCGCGCTGGGGGCCGCGGGAACTTTCCCCGGGCCGGGCCGCCGGAGGACGCCGGGCGCGGGCGGCGGAGGCGCGGGCTGGGCGAGAGGCACTCGGCGTCCTCAGCCCCCGGCCGCGGGGGCGACCGTCTCCCGGAGTGCGGCCGCCGCCGACCCTCCTCCCCGACGAGCGGCGGCCGCGCGGGCCTGGCGCTCGGGGCTGACCCGCCGGACTGTGGACAGCTCTTCCGAGACCCCACCGAGACCCCCCCAGCACTTCGCTCTCCGTGTCGCCGCGGCCGCGCCGAGCGAGGAGCGCGTTCGGGGGCTACGGCATCCCGGACGACACCTCCTCCCTGGCACTTCTCCGCCTCGCGTCTCTTTGCACGGGCTGGCTTTGGGGCGCGCTGGCAGCTTGGGTCGCCCCCACGGGCGCACCTGGAGAGTCCGAGTAGAGTGTCAGGGGGGTGTGGAGGGCGGCGGCGGCGGCGGCGGCGTTAGCGGTGACTTCTTCTCGGAGAGTCCCGGCAGGTTGCGTGCGCGCGGGCAGGTGCTGCTCGCCTGGGGCTCACTCCATCCAGATCTTGGTGGCGGGGGGACTTCGGGGTCGAGGTCACGACTCGGTCGTCCACCCCTGTCCCCCCGCCCCCCGCGCTCGAGGGTGCCCGGCTTCGGGGGAGTCCGGAGGAGCCGCGGCGCGGCGGCGGCGTCGGAACACGCGGGGCTGCCCTCGCGCGGTGCCCGGAGCGCGGCCGCCGCTAGATCTGCGGCGCCCGGCGCCCTCTCTCGGGGCCCGGAGTAGGGGGGTCGCTCGGCTGCGTCGGAAACCCCCGGGCGTGGACTTAGCGGGGGCGTCGAGGCTCAGAACCCCCACCGGCGGGACGATCTCCCCTTCCCCCGATTGGGAGAGGGGCTCAGCGTCGTGGAGCCTGGCGCGCTCGCGCCCCGGGTGGAGGGGGGCGCCCGGGGCCAGGATGGATTCGCCAGCGCGCGACTGCAGCCGGCTGGGCGCTAGGGGGGGATCGTGGACAACGAAAAACAACCGGAGCGAGCCGGCCGAGGCGGCTTCAGGCACCCGAGGAGGGAAAGAAGTGGCAGAGTCGTCCCCAACTTCAGCGGTTAAGGGCGCTCCGTGGAGCCCCCGGCGGTGGGCCAGTGCGGAGGAAGGGATGTTCTGCAACGCTTGGCACCTCCCAGCTGGTCCCTGCACCGTTTCCCCTCCCGAAGGCCCCTGGGCACCCGCCTGGAAACTGCGAGCGTTTGGAAACACTGGGGAGGAAAAGCGACCCTAAAAGGGAACGCGGGCGGCACAGTCTAGGCAAGGCGATGTTTTCCTGCTGGGGGTGCAGAGGACAAGAGGGCGCAGGAGCCGGGGCGCAGCAGAGGGACGCAGACCCGGAGTGCAAAAGGGGCTAAGGGCCAGCAGGCGGGTGCCCTTTGCAGATTTCCAGCAGAGGAAGGACCCTCCCCCCCCCCGCCCCCCACCTCGGTCGCGCCTCCCTGCCGCGATGTCGCTGTCATTTAGGGTCGCGGAAGGGGGTTTCAGTCACCGCCTTGCCAGCGGCTGCCGAGAGCAGAGGGGAGGGTGGGCGCGTGTCATTGGGGCTGCGTGCAGAGGAACGTGAACGCCCAGAGGGTTTGGGGACGCGAGGCCGGTTTCCCATTGGTGACTGTACTTCCACGCTCATCGCTAACACAAGCACGGCCTCGCCTTAAAGGTGACCAGGCCAGGGAGAGGCTGTGCAGTTCTCTTGGGGGGACCGGGGAGGGGGCGCGAGGGGGGAGGTCGGGGGCGGGGGATAGGGAATCGTCAGGGAATTTAGAGGTGGGGACTTCAGGGAACCAATGCTGATGCTGCTAAAGATCGTTATTAACACGTTCCTTGGTAGTCATTGACCCCAGCTGGGCATTCACCAAAGCAGGGTTGGAACTCATAAACAAAAGTTAAAGAAATACATGATTTCCTCGAAATCATTATGCCTAAATATTCCTAAGAGGAAATCCACGATTCGTTGTTTAAAGCTGTTTTAATTCTACTACCTTGTAGACATTATATATGTATAGAATCATAGCTATATACCGAAGGACCTTTTTCCATAAAACCTTGTTTATAATTAAGTTCGAATTTTAAAACGTTGACACGCGGTGAATAGTTTTACAGACTTCACTCTACAAGGGGGAAAATTGTATTCAAAACTTGTTCACTCCTTTTAAGTGCCTGAAGTATACTGTGGTCTGATAAACTGAGAGAAAATATATACCGTTTATCTCACAAATGTAAAACTATTTCTACATAATCTTCATGTTTAGAATTCTGCTTGCAATCGCTTCTCGGCCTTTTGGCTAAGATCAAGTGTAGAATTCCACTTGCAAAGATTTGATTTTAAATGAGACGTCACTAGAAAGACTTGAACATTTAAAATAAAACCTTTTGGATAAAATATTTTTAAATAAAAGATTTAAATTAAATTTTGCGGTTTTGCTTGAGTGAGACTACATTATAAATGGAAGAACTTTTTAAAAAATGAGTCTATAAGACTATGGTTCTAACAGTGGGAAAAAAGGGAAAAAGAGGAGAACGGGCAAGAAAGAAGGGGGAAACTAAGGTTTATCACTGTAACTCATAAATCCTGGCATAATATATGCCACAGATCTATTACTTCTGATTAACAATCACAGGTTTGTTAAAATGGATTTTTATCATTGTCTTTAAACTAAGCTATTAATTTACATTTTTTCCCTCAGCAAGTCATTCAAACATGACCTCCTATTACTTACCTAGTAAGAAAATTGATACTCATACTGTGGAGTTTTTTTGGTAATTAAAATTGTCATATTTTCTCAATATTAAAATAAGACATGCTTCATTTGTTTAGATACAGTACAATAAAGTCTAGACGATAATGACCTCAAGAAAGAAAATGAATTAAAATATAATTATCACTCCCTTTGTGATGATATTTCATGTATTTGACATAATTATCAATTACAAAATATGATAGTATATGTAGTTATACACATACATATTCTTCATGTATGCTATACACTTACAATTCTCATTCTCAAATATTTGTTATGTTCTTACATGTGCATAATTTCTTTTATTCAGAGGATATTTAATTATAAATACAATAATTTGCTTATCAAAGCTAACTTTTAATTTGAAATACATATATGCTTATTTTCTCTGAGCTTGAAGCAACTGCACTGAACAGAAATGTAGGTCCTTGTTGATTTTCTGTAGGGTTGATATATTTGCTGACATGTGACAGCTTCAAAATTATAAGCCACTCAATGAACCAGATGCAATATTCATGTAGATTTATCTGCACTTGTCTGTTTGAATCATATCTGCATTCAGAAAAGCATTCATGTCTCATTTTTCAGTACAATATAGTTCAGAATTCCTTTGTATTCTCAGACCACTGTTTTTCATGATATATGTGGTTTGGACTCAGGTAAGAATGATAATATTTCTAATAAAGAATATCTGACACTAAATGCTAGCTTAATCGTTCATTTGCAGTAAAAAAAAATACTGTTAACAAACACTGTTTGCTTTCTAAATTGATGAAAGGAGGAGACACTTAGGGTTCAATTAATTCTGTTGAAGGGGAAAAAAAGTATTGTAATCAGAGCAATGGTTAATACTCAACATGTTTAAAGGATTTAGAAAGTCTTAAGTATTTTATTCTGGTAGAAGAGTAAATTAACCCATTTATATCTGCAATTTTCATTCCCTAAGATCAAGGCAAAAGCTACATAAGTAAAAAGAGTGTTGATCCTCAAGTTTGTAGAATATCAGGTATTAAAATAGTATAAGTTTTAAATATATAAAATTATCTTCTTTAATATAAAATTGGGACATAATATAGAATTATTGTTACATAGACAGACGTATAACAGCATATAGCAATATTTTCCTATCGTTAAATGTGTATTCAAAACAATCAATTGTATGTTTTGGAATGGATAGCTAAAGTAAAAAATATGATCAGAAAAAAAACTTATTCCAGAAAGTTTGAGATTAGAAGATATATTTTTTCTGAAAAAAAGACAGTGTATTTTATTGTACTGCCAGAATATTAACTTAAAAAGATCTCACAAAATATTGACAGATATTAATTTAAAATCATTAAAATAAATATTAACAAAATATATTAAATATTAAATACAATAGAAAAATATTGACTTTAATATTTCACAGAGAAAGGTGTTTAAACATCTTATGGTTTGGTTTTCTATGATAGTGCATTAGTTTTGCCTTATATACTATTTCATAGTAATGATAATATATCTATATCTGTTTATAAGTATATGTATATTTCTATCAATTATAACTTTCTAGTATTCTTGCAACTTATCAACAATTCATCAAGTGAGTTTCATTAGTATTTGTGCTGAAGAGTATACGATGATAGCTTAGCTTTACTTTCTACTCATCAGTTTATATTATACTGAAGGCCACATATGTATGAATTAATCCAATAAAAATCATTCACTGTTATCCAAAAATCAAGTAAGATTATTATAGCTAAGTTAGAGAAAACAATCATACTCTCACCCTCTAAGGCATGGATTTCTACTATTACTATTTTTGCTTGAGTTAAGCTTTCTCTCATAGATTTGTTTGTCCTCTGAAAATTGCATCCTAGAACTTTCACTCACATTAAAAATAATACTAAAAGTCATGTACAGTGACCTTACAATTCAGCCTACAAAATTGACTCCTTAGTCTGTGTGAAATAAAGTAGTCCCTAAAAGTTATTTAAA